TCGCTGGATATTTTACTTGTGTATGTGTTTATATCAGTGGTCTCAACCTTTTTTAACTTGAGGCACCCCTAGATACACTCAAGGTACCCCTCAGAAAATGCCAACTCTTTGTTTTAACTTTTTCTTTTGACTATGGAAAAATAATAGAGCAATTCTTCTGTTGTAAATAACTCAAAGACCACAACAGGTCAGAATATTTTTTACACTGTGGAGTCCTAATTAACATATCTGGGTTTATCTTGTGAATCATGTTTGCACACCTAACAGTGCTAATGTTGCATGGCAGCCCCATGGCACACTTGAAAGCATCTCAAGGTACTACAGGATGCTTTGGCACCCTACTTGAGTATTACTGGCTTATACCAGTACATGAATAAAAACTGTTAATGGTTTATTTACTGTAATGTAGTACAAACAAGCTTGTAGCATTTCTAGGCAGGAGTAAGCTGCATATGCTACAGCTCTAATTTAGGTAGCTTTTTTATGTTGCATAGCAATTTTCTCCATGGCAACACTTTGTAGGCATGCACTATTGTCTGTATTGCCATGCAGGGCACATAGACAGGAGTGTCAAATGCTGAAGATGACTAAAAATCAAGTTTGTTACAATTTATGCTTAAAATAATGGACTTGCATTTAAAGGTAAACACATTACCTTTTAAAAGTGCGAAGGCTGTCTAATTTATTGCACTGAGTGCAGCATATATCAGTATCATCTGCCCTGGAGGTTGGTTTCATATGTGTGCACTTTGTGCAAGGAGCTCCTGGCCTTTAGAGAGCAGGTGTGTTCAATGTGCAGGACAGAGACTGAGACAGAGCTTCAGTGTCTCAGTGCAGGGATGAGTTGGTGGTTATAGGGAGAAAGGTTTTAGGTTTACCAGGAATTGGGACACTTTTTGGGATAGGAGGAACCTGTACAGAAAAGATGGGCTCTACATGAACTTAGAGAGAACCAGACTACTGGCACTAAAAATTAAGAAGTCATAGAGTGATTTGTTTTTACATTAAAAATGAGGGAAAGCAGACAAGTGCAAAGAAGGGCACAGCTTGGTTGGATGCAGCCACAAAGGGGGCATCATACAAATTCTGTATCCTCTTGAAAACAATAGTAAGGAAGTCGGAAGTGTAACCGTAGACAGTGGTGAGGATTAGTCAGTGCACTTAGACTTTGAGTCAAATAGCATATGTAGTAATAGGTAACAAAGCAAGGACAAATGTTAGATGCATAAAAAATAAGATGGGTGAACTAGAATGCCTGATATGAAATGGTAACCTTTATGTAATAGACATCTCAGAAACTTGGTGGAAGGATATTAATCAATGGCATACCGTTATACCAGGTAACAAACAAGTAGGAATCAGAGTAGGACATGGTGCTTGGGGAATGGCACTGGATGTTAAAGGTAGCAGAGAGTAACAGTGTGAAAATCATACCTGATAGGAAAATGACCTCAGAATCTCAGTGGGTGAAAATTCAGTACTTGACTAAAAACAATATTGTACTAGGAGTATGGTAGATTACCTGATCAGGAATATAGTGTGCAGTTCTGGTTTATATATTTCAAAAAAGATGTAGTAGAATTTGGACAGGTGCAAAAGAAGGGCAACTAAGATGACGGGATATAGAGCAGCTGCCATACCAGGAAAGACTTAAAAAAAAGATTAATGTTGAAGTGACATTATAGCCGTGGTGGTTCAAGAAATGTGAGAGGTCTCCCTGAGGAAAGATACGATGATACCTGAAAGATTTTCTAAAACTATCCCAATCATGCAACTGGTCCAATAAATGATACTGCCCAGAAAAATTCTTGCCTTAATAAAGGCTAGGACTCTTAAGTTTGAAAAAGAGACTGAGGTGGACATGGTAGAGATCTATAAAAGCATGAAGAGAGTGGACAAAGTGAATAGAGAACTGTTACTCACTAAGTTCCAGAATACTATAACTAAAGGAGACCCCTGGAAATTAGGAGACAGGTTTAAAACTAATGAGAAAGTACCTTTCAATGAAGTACATAGTTAATTGTGGAACTCATAACCACAGGAGGTTATAGAGGTAGATAGGATAGCCAAGTTTAAAAAGGGACTAGACACAGTTATGCCTGATAGATCCTTTAACAGCTGTTACACAAAATAATCAGAGTGTATCCCCTAGCACCTCTAAGCCAGCAACTGGTGGATTCCAGAGATGTTATGGGATAGATCACAGCAGATACACCAGATTTACCATTGGTCTGACCCAGTGTAGCACTTACTTCTTATGTAATTACAATTTTATTTTTAAAAATTGTATATGCTGCCCATTCTTTGCTCTTTTTCTGTTCTCATTCTTACTACTACTTTTTAAAATTCCCTTTCATTTTTGCATGTTGTTTCCTAGATGTGGAATCTTTTTTTGTCCAATCTCCAGAATTTTCCACACTTGGTCTGCTTCCAAGTATTGGCTTTTGTGCTATCTACTTTTTCCCCTGCATCGGTCTCTGTTTGAGACATTAACTGTAATTCTCACTTTAATTTGTTGTAATGTTAATTCTTCCTTTTCTTTATCTATTAAGATCACATTCCAGGTCTGTTAGTTTAAAACTAGAATCCATTAACTTAGAATTTTTCTTCTGAGTTAGGTTCCATTTTTATCTTTTAAAATAGAGCAAGCTTATTTTATTAATAAATAAACTTGCTCTACATGGTGAAGTTTTGTTTTTTTTTTTAAAGAAAAGAAAAGGAGAAGAATCTTGCCTAATTTATTTGGTTTTATACTGTATTGTATTTGATTTTATTATTCTATTACCCACTCTGGGAGCCCTGCCTACTGTTATTAATTGTTGTCATGGCTCCATTGACTTCAGTGAAGCAGTGACGATTTATACCAGAGAACCTGCTGTTGCATCTTGTGTTACTGTATATTTTAATTAAAAATGGTTTTCTGCTGTTTGGAACATTTAGGGAATTGTCTTGACAAGAATAAATATTATTTCACAACGGTTAATGTCATTATTTGTGCTAAACCAATGCGTACTTGAGAGATTTTTGTATATTTTATCCTTGCTTACTTCAAATGACAGCCATACAACTTGATCATCAGGTATTACCCTGAGATCTCCAAGACTAAAAGTATGAGGCTCTATCATATATCCTCCAGAATTAACAAGGCTGTACCATACATCCAGTAATTCAAAAAGGGGGAATGATATGGAAACTCCTTGCAATTTACTTTCTTAGTCTTCACATAAAAGCTATTGACTAGTTTTGAAGATATCTCACCATCTATTTTGTTATCACTTGTCACAAAATAATGTTAAGTCTATAGGAATGAATAAATAAGGTGTAATTTTACTTCATTTCTTTCGCTTCCATTAGATAACACAATGGGGATATACTGGAAATAGTTTACATATTTCAGGGGTGTGCAGAATAGGAGCTGCAGACTGTATTTGGCCCATGGAGAGATTTTGTTCAGTTGGCAGTGGGTCCCTTGGTCCCACCTGGCCCGGGTGTGGGCAGCAGCTTGGGCCATGGCACATGCAGTCAGTCCCTCCGCCAGCAGACACACAGCGGGGTTGGGGTAGCACGGTGGCTGGACTCTGTTTCCTGACAGCCCTGGTGGTGATGGCTCCTTCTGGCTGCCGCTGCTGGACCCAACCCCAATGCTTAGGCACCTCAGCCCATCCACCTTCCACCCATGGCTGGAGGCATGACCTGTGCAGGGAGGGCATGTGGCCAGGCAGCTGGAATAGGGCTGCAGGCCAGCAGGGAACGGCATCTGCAAGCAAGACGTGTGTGGGGCCAGGAAGACTGAGGTCTTGGCGGGATAACAGCATGAGGCTAGCGCAGAGCTGCTGTCTGCTTCCCACGTGCCCCTGTGACAGGCACAGGTTCTGCAAGCAGAGGCATGCAGCTCTGCCATGCACTGGGCCTGCATGGCTCCCTGATCACAGGGCCCAGGCGGAGCCACAATGTGCTCCCTGCACGTCCCTGCCTGCAGAACTGGGGTTTGGCCCCAGGCCAGGCCCTGCATTATCATTGTCCTACAACACTGGCCCCGGGTGCAGCTCCCTGCACAGCTCCTGACCAGTCTTCATGGTGACCCAATGATCTCTGGGGAGAATGGCTGGGAGCTGTGTGGGCAAGGGTGCACAGCAGGGTGGGGAGCTGCGTCTTGGGCTGAGGCCAGGATCTTGGAGTGGTGGCAGCACAGGGCTGGACAGAGTTGTGATCCGCCCCCTGCACACCTATGCCAGCAGAACCTGCCCCCATTGCTGGGGCATGTGGGCAGCGGATTATGGCTCTGACCTGGCCCCAGCCTCTAGCTCCGTCCTGTCACCATCCCAGGGTCCCAGCCTTGCCTGCCTGTCCTGCCCATGACCCCTTCCTGTACAGGGCATTTTGGTGACTTGGGGGTGCTGACCCAACCCACAACAGCTCAGCAAAACTCCCTATGTGACCCATGGGCCCAAATATGCACCCACCCTTGACATACTTGATGTAGGGACTGAGCCTGGGTCTGATGTTCCTGCATAAAATACCCACAGAAACTGTCATAGTGGTATGTTTTAAAAATGAAGGTTCTCATAAGGCATGTTTTCATCCTGTTTTACCATGGGCATTCTCTTGGTAGATTTTCAGAAGTGTTAGACAAATAGTTTTGCTTTGGTTTTTTTTAACCACAGTATTTTGTCAGTTTTGGGTTGACAAAATAATCTGCCCATTTGTGCTGAAATAAGCAAATAATTTTCAAGTGAAAAAAGGGAGGAGGGGAAATTAAGTCAAATCCTTTTATTTAGACATTTTCAAATAAACTGTCTCTGAATAGTATCTTGAGACCAAATTTGTTTAAATTTGAAATGTAATACTTTTGGAAATGAAATGCTTCCTTTGATCTGAAACAGACTTTTTTCATGTTCTTATTTTGATAGGAATGGAAAAAATGTTTTGAGTTGCTATTATTTTTGCCCTGCTTTTTATTAACTAATTATTGGCTATTGCATGAACTTTTACTTTTCTAGGTTGAAAAATGAGAAAGCTTTGCGTCTGAGTACTGTAGGTAAGTTTGATAAACTGTTTTGTTTTTTTTAAACAATAATTTTTGGTTTTGAAAGAAAGTCTTCCAGAGTTTTGAGGGAAAAGGAATGCTATGGAGTTACTTTGTAGTTGCAGGAATGACAACTAGCTTATTAAAAGATTCTGTTTATTCAAGCATCATATGTTCCCATTAACCCTACATATATTGATACAGTCAGGATATTGAAAGATTTTACTTGTGCTTAATGTTTACAGTGCACACAGATGTATGTCTTAGCACAAGGTAATTTAACATACAACAGAACAAACTTTCTTTCCTAAATACAATCTGGTTTTACCAATACATATAATGTTTATACGTGAACACTTACACAAAAAGATGCTTTAAGTGAAATAACATTGAATTTTAGACAACTTTGTATGCTACATATTATATCTTTCAAATTTACCCCATTCTTAAATTTTATAAATCTGACTGCTTGCCATGGAATGAATAGGTCTTAACCAATATTATTCTTCTCCATGCTGCTGTTTTAGAACAAACTTACTTCTTTTTATATTAAAAATGGAAAAATACATTAGATATTTTCTTCCAGATTTCTAGTATCTTAAAACAAAAACAAGAACAATATATGTTTAGGTAAAGGGAGATGAGAAACAGATGACAGTACTTTCCTTACCAGTTTCTTCCTCCCAAAGTTAAAAATGACACCTAGATAAAATATTTTATTTGTATGAAATCTTCAGTGAGACTCAGTGCAGGTACTCTAATGAGCCAAATATTTATGACTGAATATTAAACCCTGGAAAATAAAATTTATTACAGGAACAAAGGGCTCTGTATTTATATGAAGTGCTATTGTAATTAATATTAATTTTATTCTTGTAGGAGAAAAATTGCAGTGGTTTCAAAGTCACCTTGACCCTAGCAAAGCAGACTACACAAAGAAAGAAGCCTGTGAACTAATTGAAAAGTAAGATTGGATCTAGAACAATAAAACGTTTGATTTGTTTGAAATAAGATTGACTGGTAAAACTACAACCAACCTTTAATAAACTACCTCTTACTTTTCAAGTTTTATTTTTAGATGTTACTGGTTCTTAATTTTTTTAGTATTAAATATATGCATAACAGAAATGTCATAAGTACCCTGGAGCTCCTGAATTAGATCATGGCGCAACTTTACCACGCAAGATTTCCGTCCCTTCGTGCATAGTGAAGGCAGCTCCAAATAACACAGCTACAGCTATATGCCCTTTCTAAAGACTACATGATCAGGATAGCATAAGGGCATGGAGCTGTCCATTGTTTGGTGAAAACGTGGCTAGTCGATTCTAGTCCTCTTATCCTATTTCATTTTCAGTCGGGACCCTCTCAACTACCACAGTGCATGAATTTTAAAGGCAAGCAATTTTGAAGTAGGAAGCTGTACAAAGAGACTTTTATCATTGCTATATTTAAGGGTTTATTTAGCAAAGGTTGGCCATATGGTAGCTGAATCACCATAGGAAGGGCAACATTGCCTGATTGTAGACTTTCATTTATCTTCAGTCATGGTACGTTTCTTACACAGTTCAAGAAAACCTACATAACAGGGTATTTTTAAGGATGTTGAAGAACAGGTCTTAGTTATGTAAGAGTCAGAAGACTTTAATTCCTCTCAGTGCAGTGTAGGCAACCTACAACTTCGGAGCTATTCGATCTGGCCCATGAAGCAGGGACCCTTGTGGCATTCAGCAACTGGGGGCTTCACCCGCATTGTTGCAGCTGGGTGCAGAGAGAAATGGTAGCAGTTGGGTCCTAGCTCTGCCCTGCTTTGGACCTCAAACTGGGTTATTCTGGCCTGATCTGGAAAAATGTTCCCAATCCTTTTCCCAGTGTGAATGATGGCATGATACTTTAAAATATTCAGAATATTTTCATTTGAGGTTTTAATGAAAGGCAACAAGATTTTTGTTTTCCAGGTTGCACAGGGGTCACTTAAGATATATTGTGTGTGTGTTGTACGCACAGGGCATACAGTGTGAATTAAAAACAAGCATGAATCTTATGGGATAAGGTACAACGCTGCATTTATTGGAACATAAAACATGCAACATAAGAGGAATAAAGAACAGTAAGGTTATCTGCTTCACTCATTCCCATACATACTCATTCATTCATTCATTCATACAAAAGAAACAAGCGCATACACAGATAGTTAGACAGTCCTGCAAAGGTTAAGGTGTTACCAAGTTCTAAAGATGCTTGGGTCAGTCTGGTGGCCAGCCAGACCGATCGTGAGGAATGGAGTCATGTCTTGTTGGGCGCACCCAAAACTCCTTCTTGCAGGTGGACAGACCCAAAGCCTTTTCTTTGTGTTCATATTTTATAGTGATAGCTGTCCATACAAGCCTATGAATTCCACTGAGTCGGATGTAAAGGTCATTGTCCTTGTCCCGTTGGCAGGCTGGGATTGGTAGGACGTGATCTTCTGGCTTTGTGGTCTACAATCTTTGTGGGGGTCGTTGCTTGTAGTCTTCAGCCCTCAGGGTGAAGGCATGATTTAGTATTTGGTAATCCTTAACTGCTGACTTGACATCGCTGCAGTCTTTAACTCTTAAACCACAGGAGGCTATTGTCACCTGCTGCGAGAGGACTGTCTTGATTCATGTTGTCACAGACATGCATCATTCATTCTTTCATTACCTGTTGTCAAACATGCCAGACATACCACAGACCTTATATAAACATTTTTCTTATACTAAATTTAAGTTCTAAAATAATGAGACCAACAGGTCAGATACATTTCTAAGCAATCGGGGATTTAAAGTAGGTGGTTAATTCCATGGTTATTTAATATTTTATACAAAGTAATGATGACTGATTAAAATATTATGAAAAACAAATCATAACAAGATTGATTATAACAATAGCAATATAAAGCAATTATAGCTACTGCAATGCAACATGTGTACAATCTCTCACACACACAAACACATACCCGCCTACCCATCCACTATTATTAAAGTCAAGTGTGTTCAAGCTAGGCAATTTTAGCATTTTTTGGTCAAATTTGGCTGCTTTTCCTCCAAACATAGCAAAAGAAGCTTCCCTGACAATATAGCAAACCTTCCCATACCAGCGTCATATTTTAAATTGTTGCTCCAAAGTGTGAAGGTACTAGAGTTTCTCATAATAGGCTGTAAATAGATGTTTCATTTGACTCGTATCAAAACAGGAGCCCTTTCATGCATCATTGCTCCTTCCCCAGTAGGTAGCCCACACAAGCACACATCCTGACAGATTTATCCCTGGTATGAACCACAGTAATCATACAAACATGCAACAGGTTGTCCTGGGAGAAATGTTTGTACATTTTATCCAGCATTCTTCAGAGGGAGTTGAAGTAGGACACCAGGAATGTATGTCTGTAGTCCCAGGACAAAAGTATGTCTCCCAGGATAAATGTGATGTCTATTCATAGCCATATAAGCAGGAGCAGTAGTTTATTAATGTGAACAAAACAGTGTATTTTTAGAAATCTCATTACCTATGACGTTTAAGTAATCTAAAATGAAATATTCCCAAAAAAACTAACTTAGAAAAATTTAACCTAAATGATTAACAGTTGGCAAAATTTCACATTTCTATTTCAGTTCCTTATAGTGAAATTATTTGTCAACCTTTTGTGTAGCTTGTAGTCATAAACAGGAACAAATCTTATCCTACTCCTAGAGTCCTTAGGAAGTTCTTCTAATATAACACTAACCTTCCTTCTCTAAGAGTTGCTTGCATAGGCTAATCTGTGCTATACTCTGCAAAATCTAATAGTAAGAGTCATGGGATCAGAACTTATCTAGTCTTTTTATACTTTGAAAAAAGTATTTGAGTTTAGCTGACAGCAATCTCAGTTTGCCTTTATGGCATATTTCGAAATGGCTTAGAAGACAAAGTATTGTAACTGGTAAAAATGTCCCTGACACGCAACCAGACTAGTATCGTTGTGTTACAACGTTGCTATTCCTAGCTGAAATATATGTTGTTGTCTTTCAGTTACTTAAATCGATTCAGTGATGAACTGGAGCAGATCGAGTTGCATAACAGTATCAAAGGCAGACAAGGGAGACAGCATGGTTCCCGGGAGATGATCATCAAACAGACCATGGAACGTGAAAGACAACTGTATGAAGGATATGGGATAGGTATGACTTTAGTAGTAACTTGTGCTGTGAAAACTGTAAGAGCCAGAACTACCACTCTTTTCACAAATCTGAACCCAGAATGAGGGTTTCAGGCAATATAATCTTTCACTTTAGAAAACTTAAACTCCCCTTTCTCATCTTTATTTCTAGGGATTTTGAATGTGTAAAGCCAAACAAAGATTCTTCTCATGATTGTATGTTTTACTTCTGTGCAGTGATTGCCTTGAATAGTTACTGTGCTTCACTTGTTAAAACTGTTTGGTTAAAACTGTTTTTGTCGTAAGCCTTGGGCTTCTCTTTTTAAAAGGTGATTATAACCTACCTGTGTTGAAGAAACAGGAATTCCATCCAGCACCTGTCTTAGGCTGTTACCTTTAGTTTTTTAGCCTGAACAGGCTGACTGCCCTCTTTGAAAAGCTATGTATATGTACATAAGAATGAGCATGATGCTGTATATTGGTTTATTAGCTCTTATTTGGAAAGACAAGCATAAGTTTCTCATGATTTTATTATTCATGGATAGTAGCCGCCTCAAAGTCATGGAAATTAAGCCGTTATTTAGACCATAAAATACTGTGATGTTCTCTTACTAATGTAAGTCTAGCAAGAGAACTAATGATGCAAGTCTAGCATCATTGATGATCCCATGACCTGAATCATTCCACGAGTAGCGCAGTGATACAAAAGTTTCACTAGATTCATGTTTCATATCTTACTGTATATCATTCACATTTGAACAAATGCCTGGGAGCTTGTGAACATGGGGTCTGTCAGGGTCTCCCAGCCTACTAAATCCTGAAGACCTTGACAGAAAAGACCCACAAATCCAGAAAGGTAGTCCAGTGTCTTTTGGTCTTGCTTTCACATGGATTTACTGCTTTCTCTTTCTTTGGATTGGATCATGGCTCCTGTAGCGGGTACAGTGGAGCCGAAGGAAATTAAGCAGGCCCAAGCTGAGTTAAATATGTTGGATTTTATTTCGTGGATTTCTTCATGAAAATTCAGAGGAGTGGTATTTCACTGTAATGGGTCTCCTGCCCCAACCCTAGCTCTGCCTCAGGAATACTTTTCAGCCTCAGTACAAAGATACTCTTTTCTGTTCCCTTCAGTTAGAGATCTAGATCTGTACATTTAATAACCTTGTCAAACCTGGTAATGAATATTTGTCACACTGTTTTTAGCTTCTCTCAGGGTATAGACAGATGTAACAATTGTAATGATATTAAATTATAGTAGTATAGCTAGAGGTGCACTCATATGTTGGTTTGATATCAGATCAGTACCGATATAAAGAAAATTGTCTGTATCAGATATTGGCCCAGTGGGGCCAATAAATGGCCATGCTGCGTGCAGCCGCAGAGCAGCACAGAGCAGAGCCGGCAGCCTGCCTCCAGCTGGTAAGTTGGAAGGGGAGGGAAGGGGCATGGGGGGGCAGATCAATGCCCCCTGTGGTGAGGGAGGGGGCAGGGGCAGGCGCAGGTGCTGCCCAGCAAGGGGAGGAGAAGGGGCGCAGGATGGAGGCACAACTCTCCTGCTGCTGCTTGCACCCCAGGAGGGGGGGGGGGGGGGGGCACGTGCCCCCACATCTGCGCAGCGCAGGGTGGGCTGCAGCTGCGGGGTAGAGCCAGAACGGGTGCTGCGCGGGGCTCTTCTCAGTGGGGGCTGGGCTCAGAGTAGGCTCTGGCGGCACTGGGAGGAGGCTGCATCCACCCCAGGTTTTGCCACGGCTCCGCTGCCTGCTGCTTGGCACAGTTGTGTGTTTTTCTGGCGCTTGGGTGTAGGCAGGGCATTCAGCCAGGGCCATGCCGGGCGGCAGTGTGGGGCTGGAAGCGGAGCTGTGGTGAAATTCGGGGTGCCTGCAGCCTCCTCCCAGCGCCGCCAAAGTCCACTCCAAACCCAGCCCCTGGTACGAAGAGCCCCACACAGTGCCAGCTCTCAAACTGCAGCTGCAATCCCTCTCATGTCGTGCAGATC